TGCCGAGAAAGTCCACCAGGAATGTGTTTCGCAAACCTTCAAATCTCCCTTTTTTGTGGAGCTTAAAACTGAAGTACATTCAATGTAATTATGAATTGTGTTGAAAACTTTATGACGTTTTTCTCACATTTCCTTTCGCGTTCACGTTAAAATGGAATATAAATTTGAAAACCTCAAATTGTTCTCTTCCCAGAAGGGATTTCGGCAATGTGGTGCGGGGACGGGTGATTAGAACGGGGCCGACGGTGGTGCATGGGCGTGCAGGAAATAAATTCCGCTGAAACTTCGGTCTATGGGTAGGTCATCAAGGGTGCCTGTATCATTGGATTGGACATCGCGCGTGGTGTTTTTCGGACGATGGCCCCCACCGAATGTTGAGCGCCAGTTTGGGGGCAGGTCTTGGGGGCGCAATGCAGGCTGAATAGTGCACCAAGAGGGTTGGGCGTGGGCATACTTCTTATAGGGGTTAGTTTGGGGCTGGTGAGGCACGGAAATGCACTCGTTGTTTGGCGGATTCGGTGGCTGGGTGGTAGTGCGCGTGAGTGGTCTGAGTTGGGTCGCTCGTGGCTGTGTTATTTTATGAGTTCTAGGAGGCTGAGCTCTGAGGTGAGGGGGGTTGTGTATGGGTGAGAAAGCTGCCAGAGTGGCGTAAACCACGCACCGTGGTGGCAAAAGTTGACCGTCGTTTGGTGTGTGTATAATTGAAGCCTTCTGTTCATCTATTAGTTCTATCCTATACCTATCTAGTGAAATAGCGCGCCGAATAGCGGCCAACAACAAAAACGAATGTCATATTCGTAATCTGGTGTTTCCGTTCGAATATGATATCTCCTTTGATGTAGTATATGAGCTTATACAGCCGAAGTATCTTTGGATAATCTATCGGGTTGGCGCCGATGGCTCCAGTGATAGAATAGATATCATAAATCAAACCCCGATACTTGCGATTGATGAAAGTTACAGCAAAAAGAAGGTGTTGACCCTTCCAACCCCTTTATTTGGTGTTACATGTGTGAACAGTGCCGGGCTTTTTGTGAACTGTTGCAAATGTTCATGTCAATATATAAATCGGTCCCGTTGTTCGTTTCTTTTTTTTCTGTGCACGACGCCGGTTTTCAACATTCAAACGCTTTACGAAGAAGTAGTTCCGTTTTTTCCGTTTTCAAGGGGTTCGTGGTCCGATTTTCAAGAGTTTTCATCATTGAAATGCTCATAACTTCCTTCACCATTGATTTTTTGCTAATTAGAAACTGGAGGGTAGGCCTTCCCCGATAAGACTAATCAGTGCGACATGATATAAGCTACTCTTTCTCATTTTCATCATGCCTGGTAGCCTTTTCAATTGTGTGACTGGTATCTTGATGCTTATCAGCGCCCCACGTCATTGCTCTGTAAAGCATAACAGTCAGGAGGGGGTCGAATAATTTCAAGCCATCTACTACTCTGAGGGAACACGAGCCTAGTGGATAGATATAATAGTGGCCTCCATGTGGAAATAATAAACGAACTTACCTCAGAAACTCAAAAACAGGGTGGAAAGTCCCTCAAACATGGGTGTTCTTGGGGATTTCCCCAATCCCGCCCCCTTGCCGGCCGTCATTGGACGCGTCGGCAATCGTGCTCGTTTTGGGACCACAGGGAAAATTGATTGAAAAAGTGTGTTAAGCGCGTTACATGTTCTGGCTACGGTCAGCATCTCGTTCCAAGCGTGTCGCTTACCCAGTGGCTTGAGCTCTGAGCGGCAGAGGGAGAGTACCTGTCTAAGACCCTCCCCGACGTTTTTTTCCAGTTTTCATACATTAATCGTCTGGTTTTTATCTACAAACTCATTATTGGTGGTTTTTTTTTCCCGCGAAACCGTTCCTGAACTGTTGCTTTAACCAACCTCCTCTCGTTGATCTCTGCGCAACGCTTAGTTGACGGTCGATGACCTCCTTCAAACGAACGCCATAGACACCGAGGCTAGTCCGCACTACGTCATTTCATCTCAATTTTCGAAGGGCATCTTTCAGCTATCCATTCAAACTATATTTCATTTCTTCAGCTTCATATTCGACCAAATGACGCGTTAGAGCGTTCATATCTCTATTTATCTCTCTTTTCGTCGGTTTCCCTATCTGCCTATTTGTCTTATTATCACGAAATTTACTATTGCTTGGAAACCACCCCTGGACAAGTTTGGGTGCAATACAAGTGGGATGGCACGTTGTGTTTTTTGGATACGGTAGGCGCGAAATGTGTGTGAACGGGGTCTGCTGGCCGCTATGGTGTCACGAGAATCGGGAGAATTCGTGAGCCAAGGGGGTTTAGTCAATCTAGGGAGTGGCGGGGTGGGGAGTGAGGGCATTCTTGACACGCGTGAAAAGCTGGGGCCGTACGCTGAATATTCGGGAGTGGATGGGGATAGAGAAAGGCTGGGGATTTCCGTTGCAGGACCCAATGGCTGGACCTTTGATTTTGCAGCTTTGTTTCCATTCTTATCGCTGTTTTTGGTGTAAACCGATAAAGACGTGCGAATATACAATCAGAAACAGTAAAAGGATGGAAACAAAGCTGCAAAATCAAAGGTGCGACCATTGCCCAGTGGGTCCTGCGACGAAACCTCACCAACCTTTCCCCATTCCCGGGTGTGCGTCATATGGCGCGATCCCATTGGCATTGGAGCGCACAGGCCGTAATTACCACGTCCTGCTGTGGCCGGACAACTCGTCCGCGCAACACATTCTGTTCCGTTCCTCTTGCCTTGGCATCAGGCCAGCGAAGCTACCCACTCTTTTTTAGATCTTTGGGACTCAGCGAGATTTTTGAGGCCAAATTATCACATCGATCAATTGCTGAAGTCTAGCAGCTGTGTGATACGGACGAGTTGTCCTGGATACTGTGCGCTCTAATGCCATGTATGACCGCCTCCCCCATTCCCAGCTCCTGCCCAACATTCAGCATACGGCCCCTGGAATGTTTGAGCAGCTTCATAGCGTCTCGTCACGTCAGTCCCCATTTAAATACACCGCGTCTACCGTTTTCGAAAATTCGGCGTGCCCATCCCACTTGTATTGCACCCAAGTTCGATAAGTGGAGCGTGGGTCAAATGTAGGAAGCGCACATAAAGCAGGTTTGATTCCCTCCACAGTGGGCGGGGCACGTGCTGGAATGAGCGGCGTCAAGGCTAAATGTTCCCAATTCGCTTCCACAATAAGCCAGGAACCGAGAAAAACGAGTGTGTGCAACGCGTGGTCGGGTCGTGTGACCAGGGAGGGCCCATCTGCAGTGGGCGGAGCATTCTCTGAATGGGCGGTGTTCGCTTAGAGAAATTCATAATTCGGTTACAAGAGAGCTAAAGCTCATAACGCAGAGGTAAGCGATGGGGGAGGAAATCACTCGGCAATTGGAAGCAGAGCTTATTCGAGAGTTCACGTCGCCGCCGTCCATGTCGCCAAGGAACCATGATATTCGCGCGATAGCGTGTGGTGCCAAAACTGGTATCGAATAGGGCGCTACCTTTGAGTTGGGAACTCGGTTGGGCAGTTTCCAAGCAACATTGTGTTGGACAAATGGGCTCAGCATCAAGTCTGCACTAACTTCAGTGCGTAAGGCGGATTGCCGCCTTGTTCGTAGAGCTCTCGTTCTGAATGCTCCAGTTACCGATAGTTTTCTTCAAAATCTCACTTTGGATAGTAATTGACTCGTGTTTTTGTACTCTACGACATGGCTCGGGAATGGATTCCATCCCTTTTGAAACAATTGGTGACCATGATCGTCTGTTGGGAACAAGTTAGCGGCATGAATAACGACGGGGCCTCCCCCTTGTGCAGGTAGCGTTCGACACGATTCATGATTCCGAAAGGGATTGGGAGGGACCCGTGCGCACTCCAAAGGGTGCAGCGCCAAATCTTTCTCTTTCCCATTCATGATTTGTGTGAGCGTAGCGAGTGAGTGAAAGTGAAGGCCTAGATGTGATAGCGATATCAGATCGCCGGCAGAGTGAAGCGGAGTGAGGTCATTTTTTAACTTGAGTAGCTGTGTAAGGACGACTAAGGTAAGGCTGTGTTCTTGCAGAAGTGGTGCTCTGTTTTTCCAATGCAGTGAACGAGCGGTGTGTGTTGGCGCAGTTTCTGGGGTCATAGAAACCCTGCCCATGGACTCAGAGTGTCCATTGCATCCGTGGTGCGCTGATAGCGTGCGTTTTTTCGTCTGCGTGGGACATACGAGTTTTTCGGGCACTGCTACCGTGGCTCGCATACGAATCACAATGTCCTTTCATAAAGTGTGATCCATATGAGAATCACGCTGTCGCCATTCTGTTGAACAAGCGCGAGCCAACAAAGAAGTCACAGGTTGCCAATCCATCTGAATGCGCAGTTTCTAGAATACGTATCGGCTCTCACATTCCGTGTCGTGGTTGCAATACTAATTGGGTGGGACATCTTGATTTTGAGTTCATGATGAGCACTAATGGAGCGGTCATAGTTGGCGATCGTACATGCGATTAGGCGATTAGGCGACTAGGCAATGATTCAGAAAAAAGTATACGTATCGATTAGGCGATTAGGCGAGTAGGCGAGTAGGCGAGTAGGCGATTAGGCGAGTAGGCGATAAAGAAGGATACGTATTGATTTGTTGCTCCGCCCATTGAGCGATCGCCTAATCGCCTAATCGCCTACTCCCTATCGCCTAATCTATACGTATATTTTTCATTCCAGACTAATCGCCTGATCGCCGCCTAATCGCACGTACGATCGCCAACTCTGAATGCTCATGAGTCAAGGGAGGGAATATACAGGATGGGAACTAATTACACGTTGCGGAGTCCTTCCTCTAAAAATGCAGTCTAAACTGGGTATTAGATCAGTCGGTAACCTACAAAACCGAGATGTCCCACCTGACTAGTTTTGTACCACATTATGTCCTTTTCTAAATTTCTTCTTTCAATACACGAAGCAGAACTGAAGTCCTAAAAATCACGAGAATTGGCTCAAAATTCCACAGTTTCAGACCGTGACATGGCCGACACACCAGAACAGAAGAGCGAAAAGATAACGCCTGATAAGGCCCTTTCTGTAGACCCTGATGTGAGTCGAAAAACAGTCAGGATATTGATCGTGTTTATTGATTCATTCAACAACAATAAACATTACAGTGCGCATATTTCAATGTGACCGGCGGAAAGTCCGACCATATGCTTGTAAATCTTGGAGAAAGTCGTCTGGCAGTGAAGGTATCCGTCAAAACATACCGTAGATCACTTCGATACTTTGAAGCACCTCAACAAAACGGCCATGTGGAATAGAGTATCGATCAGAAGACCGGCGCTGGCACACTTGGGGGGGGGGGTATCGGGAAGTCGAGCTTCTTCTTCTTCTACCTAGCGTTTGTCCCGCGCAGTCGAGCAGGGTCCGCTGTCTTTGTGGTCGCCACCACATGCGGAGAGCCCAGCACATTCGAGCATTCCCTCTCAGTACCCACAGTAAGCACTCCAGAAGTTCCTCCTGCCGTCCATAGAGGATTCAAGTCCGAAATAGCCGAGCCCCCCCCCCAAATACGCTAGCCGGCGAACAAGAGCGTAAAACGATGCCCAAGCCAAAGTTGTTGACTTGAATTATTGGGAGGAGCGCCAGTAGGAAGGTTTGAGACGTAGTCCTTAAAGGGTCCTACAGTAACCCCATCCCTATCGACTAGAATTAGGGTTGAGTTGCTGCTGCGGTAGGGACAAGTTGGGCTAGGGAGAGGTAAGTCTGAGTTGTAAATTCTTAGAGTTGGTTGGAGTGAAGTTAGGTTGGGGTAGGGAGAGACAAGTATGGGTTGTGAAGACCTAGAAGGGGTTGGAGCGAAGTTAGGTTGGGGAGTGTTGGGGTTAGGTTATGCGCAAGACCCCGAAAAAAATTGCCTCTGCGCCAATTCGGAAAGTGACGGTGTAGATCGCGAAAGATGAAGCGCGATTGTGAATTCCATGCCTTTTCGGCGCTTATATTTTTGGAGGCGGGGAGGGGGTGGTGAGGGGACATTCAAAACTGAGCCGATTGTGGGTATCACTATGACTAAGCCCAGGAGGGGAGAGAAACGCTATACAGATCTGCTGCCATACTCCCCCAGAGCCCCTTTCTCTTCCTGAGGCTTAGTCCCTAAGGCTGTAAGTGGCTCACTTACTTCAGTACCCCCCCCCCGGTCCTAACGGCATGAGCGTCCCTCTTTCGAAGCTCAGTGAAGGGCTCGGCAGACAGGGCGCTCGCAATGGCGCGTTTGTGTGGCCCACATTTTCCCATTAAGGCCAAGCGTACTACGACAGGCGTATAATGTGGATAGACTGCTAAATTAGCAGTCGAATTTCTTGAGCTATGTCAGCGATAGTATTCGCTAACTGTTTTCAAATGCTCCTAGCTGTTTCCTGATTCTGCTTCAGATTCGCTGCAGCAATAATGCGCTATATCGCGTCTCGCCGAGTGCCATGTTCATCGAAGCGGGCCAATGCCAAAATCTAGTGGTTATAAGACAAGCCGGTAGGTCGTGCTAATGGTTGAAAAGTATCAATCATAGTTATCATGAGTGGGATCAAAAACGAAGAGGTATCACTCCGAATGGACCTTGAGATTGAGTGAAAGCCCCGGATCCCACTTTGCATACGGCTTGGGACGGCGTGATTCAGTACTGAATCACGGTGGACGCTCTCGCAAAAAACGCGCTCGCCTTCGTGCGCCTGGATAAGAAGGACGTACGGTGTCATTAACTGAAGGTGTTAACTGTGACCCAATGATAAAGAAGAAACGAACTGCAACGACGAGAAGGGGTAATATTGTCAGAAATAAATGGATTCGATGCTCTTCGAGACCTAATATCGACGCTGCAAGTCCGACTTTTGCCGCGGTGATGACACCTACGTTCTTCTTGACCTACCACCTTCATCCCTTTATCTTTGTCAGCCACCGGTGGCTGACAAAGATCTCACTCGGTACAATGGTATCCACCGGTGGCTGCCGTGTTTCAAATGGAATTTGGAAAGTTTTCTTTCCTGAAAAGAATCTTCATACCCTCATTCATCTACGCCAGCCCTGGGCAGAGGAAATCTCCATCCACTCAAATTTTATTGAAGAAAAATCTCCTGACTCTCCTGCTAATGCGCAAACCGCGCGGTCGCGAATGGGTTGAACTGGTTTGAGGCATTCTTCAAGGTACTCTTGAGATAGGTGTGTACCAGTAGGAGTTGAGAAGCACTCCCGGCGCCGGCGCTAGAGCACTGGAGGGTGGGGGGGGGGGTGGAGAGCAACGCGGAATGAGCCTAGAAGGAGAGTACAATTTTCGGGGACAATGAAATGCCTATCACAACCGCTTCCTCAACTCCCCCCCCCCACCAAATAAAAAGTGATTACGATAAGAGGACGCTGCAGGCAGGGAACCGTATCTCCGCACGAAGCAGTATCATCGCTGCCAACTAAGCAATGTGTGAGGCTTTCACAACAAAAGGCGCGTTGGTTGTTGGCAGTGCTTAAAAAGCGCTCCGCTCCTTGGTCTTCTTTGAAATTTATATCACCTTCCAGCCACTTAATCCATAACTTGCAGGCCCAGCCCGTTCTGACAAATTGATTTTACAATTCCTGCCATGTGAAAAGGATGTCGAAGACTGCAAAGAGTTCTTCAAGCAAGCTGACAAAAACGGCGCCAAACCCGAAACCCTTCGCATCACACTAAAGGTACGCTGGGCACCGAATTCAAGAAAATGTGACGTTTTTCGTTAATTCGGAACTGAGAATAACAAAGAACATGGCTTTCAGATGGTTGGTGATCAAGGCTATCGTGTGATTCCTTCACGTGAAGTGACCGATGATGCGATTTCTTAATGGCTACAAATACGCCCACGACAGAGTCCATTCATAATTACAAATAATTTGTAAAAATCCACATTGTAAATTTTAGAGTAAAATTTCTATGATTTCGTTGTTGCTGTAGCTATCGATGATGTTTTTTTTTGAGCACGATGTTGAACGATAGAAATCGGCGTTCCAGGATGCGCCACATATTCGGCCTCCAGCTGTTATTGGAGTGTAGATTTCTAATCGCAGAATCCCCCGGCCCATACGATGAATTGCAACAGCCATCCGATCCATGAATTATCATAATCCGGTGAAACTCCAGTTCGGGGGGGGGGCACTCCATTGCTATCTTATCCGTAGTACTAGAGAGCAGTTCTTTGGGCTATCGAACACTAGGGATAAGATAATAATATAGATACCGTCCTCATCTTCTCTCAACGCAGGCCTGGCGAACTGTATCGTTTTTCGCAGACTCGTTCTCGGCCCATATTTTGAAAAATTTCGGCAATTTGTTCTCGTTTTTCACCGGTGGTCCCCCCCACCTCTGAACATAGCGAGCGCAATGAGAGCTTCTTGGCAATTCCTGATGTAATGGAATGGGTCTATAACGCTGGTGGTCGGGGATAGAATGCCAATCAATGCCATCATGAAATCGTGTCCATGTAAATTAGCCTCGCTTCTCGGTGGTTGGGAATACATTTCTACAGAATGATGCTTGCATCATCCCATTATAGCCACCCACTGTTTTAAAAATGCCCAACAATCTCCTTAAATTTTCCAGTGCCTTATTGCCCGTTAGCAAGCCGTAAAGCATGCGCTTCATTTCGTGTTTCGCTCTCACCGAAACCGTCACTTTTTCGAAGACACGTTCCGCGAGTAGACTGATACTATGCTCACCCCCCCCCTCTCTCCAACTTGCAAATGAGCATGGTCACAACTGCAAAACTGGTGCCATCCGTTACTCAAAAGTGACTCTACGTTTCAGTTGCAAAGTTGCTGGGTGCTATTCACCTCCTTTCATGCACACTACAAGCACGTCTGTGTAGGGCGTGTGTTTATGTCTGCGTCTCATTTATCCCTCATGCTCTCTCACCTACTGTGTTGTCGAGTATCGGCGCTCATTGTTTCTTGGATTGAATCTCTCTCAAAGCTCTTATTGTCATGATTTTTGCCAGTTTCTTTTCCAGATTTTTTATTGGAGTCCACTTAGCACCTCAACTTCCATTCTGAGGGTTATAGCCAGGGTGAGGATCGTTTCGAGGACGTGGTCGCACAAGTACGACCCCCTCCCTGAGATCGAGGACTTGATACGACCCCTCAAAACAGAGCATACGCAAAATTACAACAGCCGAGTGTATCGACCAGCGGTCACATTTCTGACCCAAAGACAAATCGCGCCGCAACTGCCGCTATAAGTTGCGGCGCGATTTGTCTCTGGGTCAGATTTGCCGAAATCCCGAAAAAAATCGTCGAAATCTACACCCTCGATGAAAAGGTTCCATTCCTCCATTTCCCAACCTTTTGAACAGCACGCGGTAGGGTTAGATAGAGCTAGATTTGCTACTATCAGGCAGTATTGGAATTGCTATGAAAGCCTTCCATTCGAAGAGATATAGTCTCTCAAAATCCGTCGAGGGAGCGTCGAGGATGCTGAATTTTCATGCGAGTTTTTGCCACTTAAAAGGCAATATCTCTCTAATTCGCAAGATCTTGGAAAAACGAAGACAGTTTTGGAAAGCGGAAGGTTTGCGCTTTCTAACAGTATGTTTAGCTTCCTTCTACATTCTCTAGTTGAGGAGATATTTGCGTCGAGGATCTATCGAGGATGATTCTCGGCCGCTAAAAAGCCGCTCCCTTCTTCACCATTGCAAGTGTAATTCGTTGGCAACGCTCGAAATGTGTCTAGAATACATTCTTCCAACATAAGCAATAAGAAAAGGGGCAATCGTCATCATCCGATTTTGTCTGGGTATAGGCCATGCATCCGACCTTCACTCGAAGTTTCAAAATTGACTGATGTTCGTAACCCCTATAGCCTGAGGAACAGCTTCATTCGCCCAGGGGGTGAAACTCCAGTTCGGGGGGGCCACTCCATTTTTTCTCCAATACTCAAGATAAGGATTAGAGGGCTCACGACACGTAATCGACTCATTTAAAGTAGACTTCTGATAAGTATCGGTGTAATGGTGAAAAACCCTGAGATGTTTTCACATTTCCGCCTGCCATGGTCCAAGGGAACGGTCCTGGACCAGGAGAAAGGACACCTCGCAAAGGGCTAAGGGTGCAGGAGCTCCAGGGTGGATCACCTGTGCAGAAAAGTGGATGGGATGTGGGCAGGTATGTGTGAATGGGACATCCACCGGTCCTTATCAAAAGTACGCTCGAAATGAGTCGTTCACTTATTATCTTATCCGTAGTGTTCGATAGCCCAAAGAACTGCTCTCTAGTACTACGGATAAGATAGCAATGGAGTGGCCCCCCCGAACTGGAGTTTCACCGCCCAGGGTCCTTCCTTCACGGTTGTCGTTTTTGCGACAGCGTCCCTAACAACAGTGTATTCTCAACGAGGTATTAAGGGAGAGGGAGCGGGCGGTAGGTAGAGCAAGGTGACTCTGCAGCGCGTGTGCACATGTGACCTCAGTCCTAGCGGAGATGTACTTCATGTTTTGCACTGCTTTCAAATACGTAGTTTTTATATATGTAGAGAAATTGAACGACTGAACCTGCAAAGAATACTTTATATAATGTTTTCTTCACACATCTTCGCTTTCTGCTGCGCTGCACCCTCATACTCCTATCTTCACTACGCTACCACTGATGATACTGACCGTCTCGAGTACGACCCCCGTCACGAGTACGACCCTCTGACCAAGCCTGACAAGTAACGACCTCCTGTTTCAGGTATAAAGGAATCTTCCACGGAAAAAGCTCCGCCCTCATTACCACAGAAAACGATACCTTAAATCTTCCACGGAAAGAGTGATCATTTTGTCTTGTGTGTAGGATTAGTATTATCGAAACTAACGCTTATGTTCCGTTCTTTTTGCTATGCTCATGAGGCTAGGGGCCTAAGGGGTATCGTTTTTCTGTGGTAATGGAGGCGGAGCTTTTTCCGTGGAAGATTCCTTTAATTGACCGATATTCACCCTGTTTATAACACACCTATGTAGTCAAAGAGGTCGAATTATCTATTCAGTGGCTGGGACAGAGTAGCCCACGAGTAGCACAGATGTGCTGTTGTCGCGCTCGAAAGTGCGCGACAATGGCGCTGGGTCTTACAAAGTCAGCATTTGGCGACTAATCTTAGCATTTGGACGAGTTACGTAGCGCACACCCATGACACGCAACGTGGATTACGGCGTAGCGGCTAATTCAAATACGCGCGGGTTAGTTGAGCCGTGGAGCAGGTAGATCATACAACTCGTCGGTCCCGCCCCTTCCTTTATTCCAAGGTGAATCCCTTGGGGCTTTGGGGCTCGTCGACGGTTTTCTTTGCTTCACTTTTTGTAGTCAATTCGGCAACCACAACTCCACTACTATCAACCTCTGCTACCCAACAAATTCGATCTGGGGGTGTTACTTCAATCTGGCATTGGAACCACACCACCCCCTTTCATTCTGTTGACGGGTGCGCAACCACAGAAGTGAAGCCACCAGCACCAAAGGGTGCAAGTGGGTAACCCTGTCTCCCGTCTATGACATCTAGGACACTGTTTGGCGGTGCACCATAGCCTAGTGGGTGCGCTGCAACCTCGCAGCCGATTAAAATCAATACCGCAACCGGCCAGTAGTAAGGTTTTCGAATGCATCTGCTGAGGCGTCGGCCGCCTATGGCGGCGTTCTCCTGCAACCCTCAGGCCATCAAATCCAACACCCTGCTATCAGTACTCTCCTCAATACGAATATTTTGACATTATCCACCACAGGAATGCCACCCTTCCACCGACCCTTGCGTTCAACAGCAGACTCCGTCTTGTTACGCAGTTTGCGTGATTCTCTGCCGTGCGAGGAGTTTCCCCCTGATCCAACCAACATTTGCCGTCTCAACGAAAGCGCGCCCCCACTCCATCTTTCCCTCGCATGATTTTGACCAAGGTCGACGGTTCGCTGAGCTTCGGGATCTCGCCATTGCCTCCCGCACCACAACTACTTAACGCCTTCCCCCGTCACGCATTGCCACTCCTCTCCCCCCTCCCGGCTCTGCTGTATTGAGAGAAAGTTTTTTTCGTATTGTCACGCGGCGGAAGCCAACGTGCGGGGCCGCGCCCAGAGGCGAGGCGAGTAATACAACTCGGAATCCCGACGAGCGTTTCAAGGAGACCTGTTGACGTAAGCAAACCAGCCCTTTTGGCGCTTCGGCTGGGACCGTATGCTGAATGTTGGGGAGGGGATGGAGTCCCCGACGGTGGACGGACCACTTCAACTCGGTCCTTAGAACCGCCACAATTTGGTGCTTACCTCAGAACTAAGCCTTAAAGAGGACGGGTCCGTCCCCTCTCCAAGGCTTAGTCCTGGGGTGAGCAAACCAGCCCTTCTGGCGGAGCTGCTGGACCAGCTGCACCACTTGCGTCAGTACTCTCCTATCGTACCAACCGAGTTGAAGTAAACCGTCGACCGTTGGGGACCCATCCCTCCCAACATCAGCATACGGTCCCAGCCGAAGCAAAAGGGCTGTTTGCTCACTTCTCTTCTGGTCGTGGGGATGCGCTGAATTGTGCGCCAAATTTGATGACCCATTCGCCGGCTCCCCCACGCTAGTTGGCGAGCCTTCGTTTTTAGGAGTTCACGAAAAAAATCACCATTGAAATAACTGATTTGTCCACGTTTCAGTACAGCTAGCCCCTTATCGCACTTGTTTCAGATGAAATAAAGCTGCCTGATTCTGGCCGTTATTCTCGGCAGCCAGGGGTGTGAACGATCTCAAGTGATGTATACGGTGGATAAAGGAATTGGATCGACTATACCAAACCCTGAAGTGAAGAAGGCTATCGAGGAAGTCAAGAAAGCGTTCGAGAACGCTGGCTTGT